CACTCAATTCCAGCAGTAGTAGGAGAGATAAAGATTTGAACATTCCACAGTATGGTCTTAATATATTATCTAAAGTGGCATGTGTGTTCTGCGTAGAAACTCAGTATTAAAAGCAAAGGATGTGTTGTTTTGTTGGACATACAAATGACTCTGGGATTTAATGTTTTTTTATAGACGAGTTCAACTTGACTTGGTCGACTCCCTTTCATCTATCCTTTCATTTCAAATGTTCGTATTATTATTACGTGCAAATATTCAATAAATACACACCATGATTATTTCTCCTCTTGTGAATAATTGACCTGTGGTATATCAAAATTGTCAGCACGCTCGGTCCCACCTATTTATTTTATCAAGACTGAATATTTGAACTTGGTTTATATCAAGAAATTTATTACCAATATATAATACATTAGCGGTCATGACACGAAAAGTAGCAACAAGATAAATGTATTAGAGTTACAAGAAGATTTGAAGTGACTAGTGTACTATCACAGTCGAATAGCCTAAGTAAATTCATTGTTCCACATAACTGTTCGGGCACCGAGTGACCAAGTGGTCTAAAGCGCTGACCGTTACGTAAGTGAGAAAGCCTGCAAGTAGCTTCTCGTAGGTCGGTGGTTCTTCCCGGGTTTTTCCAGGGTTCTTCCTCCACCATTAATACTGGCCGACATGTATAGCCACTCTTTTGCTGAAAATGGCGCTAAACCCTATAACAACAACAACAACAACAACAACAACAACAACATAATTGTTATAAATTAAGAGGTAACCTTTAAATAACCCAGGAATAAAATAATAGCAACACAGGATTAAAACCTTTTAATCGGTAGCTAATTTGTTTTCTTGATCTATTATATTTCATACGGTCAGTTTTGTAAACAATTAGACAAGCGCGCTAATGAACTTAAATTTTGAGTCCATCTATAACCTTTAATGGCATAGAAGGAGCCAAAACTTTAACGGATTAGTCACGGCTAACGATGACATTTAACGGACTTACAGCAGGTATACTACTATTTAGTGCCAAGGATGCCCATGGAGGTTAAGGAAATAAGTGTTACAAAAAGCAACCGAGATTGTATTGACTTTGTTAAAGATGGATATGTAAGCTAGTATTGAATAAAAAAATGGATACGAAAATTACATTCTGTAAAAGGAAACTGGACTGCCTACAGAAACCACGCGTATTGTTCACTAAAAATTCATTTCAGTTGTAATAGTCGATATTTTTTGTGAACATTAACAAAAACAGTGGATACAGTTGAATCTTTCCTCTTTATTGACTCTCATGAAAAGTAATCAGATTCTATATATTAATCAAAGTTATATTGTGTGTATACTGTCTGTATATCCTGAGAGAGACTAAAATCTCACTGGGAATAAACAAAAATCAGTAGGTATACCTTACCTATCAAAGAGTCGGGGTGGGGACTTGTATAAAACAAGTTTGTTTTACACAGATGCAAAATAAATTACTCTACTCAACGAACTAAATGGATGATCATTTACATTTAATGCATTGGCAGTTAACTTCATCTGGCTGACATTTTGCCAAAAAATTTAAGATCTAGCCTTTTTATTTATAATTAAAACCAGAGTCAGGAGCGCGCAGGAAATAAACGATTGTGTCACGAATTATTGTTAGTCTACCTTAATTCCCTCTGCTCTTTGAAAGTATGGACCAAAACTATGTGTATGTACCTATATAAACTTAAGCGGTTTTACCAGTTTATTGAATGTTTGTTCTCTTCAAAGTATGTTCTTACCATTTCGTTGCATGCGCATTTCTATGTCAATGAATACATTGCACTGCATTAGATAATACATTGAAATTCACAAAACAGGAAATGTTAAATATAAAACATCAATCAAGGCAGAAAAAGATATGGGCTAGCAAAGAAGATGTAATGCAGAAAAAAATTCCGATCAGAAATGTTTAATGCCAATATTTATCAGATGCCAATAATTCGTGTTCCACTACATAGATTATTACGACAGATACGTTTTAACATGAGGTCTCTGGACAGTTTCTTTGTTGAATTTTCATCAGACTATCTATAATGTTGTGTGTGTGTGTGTGTGTGTGTGTGTGTGTGTGTGTGTGTGTAACTTTAACAATCTTCCAGTCATAGCACTGCGGCATCATGCCGCAGATATATAGCATCATGACCACCCAACCACATTATCCTGTCTCTAGGCCGACCTCTTAAAGCGGTGAACCATACGTGGCAGCTGTTAGTACCATTTTTATAAGTATTTTGTATAACTCATCCAGGGATCGACCTCACGACCTTTTGTATTCGAGACTGACGCTCTACCCACTTAGACCACTGGAGATGTCCCATCAAATGATGACAAATTGCAGAACAATGAGTGTGATTATACATTCAAGACACAGAAAAGCTTGTTGTGGAAAAGGGGTGGTTTTTCATCTGAAGCACAAGCTACGTATTATGTCTACAGTACTAGTCTTTCTAAACAACTAAACAGTTCCTATACATACATACAGTAAATATAAAACCACATTACATATTGGTGGGTGAATTTGTAAACACATTGCTCATGCTTATTACGGTAATGACAAACACCCTACAAATTGGACAATGAAATTTAATCACTGTACACAATGTTCAAGATGACATGTTTAAATAGCATGCGCATAAAACAACACACACACATACACACACACACACACACACACACACACACACATATATATATATATATATATATATATATATATATATATATATATATATATATATATATATATATATATATATATATAGAGAGAGAGAGAGAGAGAGAGAGAGAGAGAGAGAGAGAGAGAGAGAGAGAGAGAGAGAGAGAGAGAGAATAACCGTTCAGTCGATGGATTCATACACAAAATTTATAAGTGACATTCTTCGTACCTTGCTGTATAAGTATTCAGCTAGGTTGATAACCTCTGTTTATAAAATCGTCGACTAAAGTACCTATCAACTGCGGCAGCTGAACCTTGAGGATATCTTTAACGTTCTTGCTGCTAGAAGTATCACTTCGGTAGGTGTGCTATCCAAGACCCTGAGGCCTACAGGAAAAGAAATGAAAACGACAAAACCGAACCTCAAGAAAAAGGCAGACTGCCATTAGACAACTTCTGTTAGCATTAAGCCAGCGAAATATCAGAGCTATTTGCGGCTTTTCATCCCACGTATGTAGCGTCCCAACACAATTTAGTAACAACACAATTTATTTTTATCAGGAAATTAAAGGTGCTGTGCACATTGTATTGGAACGGACGGTATTTTCATCCTAATTATATTCTTGCCTGTTTTCGTACGTAAAATGCAATGACTTTAACGCTTTTCAGCACGTATTAGATTGGTACTGTGTATGCCATTATAGCTTAAATTTGCGTAAATATGATGAAATGTATGAATTTCAATATTGCAGCCAGTATAAAAAAATGTAAATGCATTAAATTAAATTCATCATTAAAAAACTATGAAATTAAAGAAAATATTACTGTCAGTAATGAATAACCAAGTAAAATAACTAAGCTCAACCACCTTGCACGAAACTTCAAAGGTTTAAGTTGTTCGTTAGTAGAAAGGGCAATAAACGTCTTATCTCTGATGTGGATAAGTTAGCTCTCTTTTGTACTCTGATTTATTGCTATAAAATCTAAAGGAACCGTGCGTTTAATATATCTTAATACACCAGTCACAATCAACAGAGATAATAAGGAAACGATTTTGAAATAGATTGAAATTTTTTTTCAAAAGCTTACATGCAAGCGTAATTAGGAGAAACAGTCTCTACTACAAAAAGTTGGTGAATTTTGAATAACACACTATCCTCAATAATTAAAAAAAAATAGTTTTCGTGCTATAATTTATAGTATTCTCCCATGATCGAGAAATTTTTATTTGAAGCAACGGCTATCATACACCTTCACATTCCATAAATTCTATTATAAACCTATAATTGCATTTCTCAAATGTATATTTCATCAAGTATTATAGTCGATCAACGCTAAAATGTTATTTTCATGTACTATTAAGCCTTTTTATAGCATGAAACAAGTAGAGAAATTTTTTGAGGAGTCTCAAAATGTGAAAAATAAAACCTAAAAAAGTTGTTAAGTTATTGCTAAGCAACTGTCCAAAAAATTACGCATGCTTAAACAGTACGTTTTGGAACACTGCATAAAATAACCGATCCGCAATTATTCAATGAATTCATGAACACAGTTTTAAAGGGACATCATTCATCAAACCTTACTGTATAAGACTCAGGTACACCTCTGCCTGTAAATGTTCCAGAGCAATTGATGCGGCTGACTACCGATGTTCTTGCAGCTTGAAGTATAACTTCGGTAGGTGTGCTATCCAAGACCTTTAGGAGTGAAAGAAAAATTGAACTTTAAGAAAAAGGAAGATTGACAAAGAAGACTGCAAGTCATGTTAGTATTCTATATAATATTTTGAACATTTGCAAGTTTTACTCGTTTCTCTCTCAAATGTGTATAAATCATTTCGTACTCTGCTAAAGTATTGGATCAGAGCCAAACTGTTCACATGCCAAAGTTATAAATGTTGTCTTGCTTTTGGTCTCCCCTCATGTTCTCAATTGTGATAGTTCATCAGTAGCAGACATTCACTTTCAAGCGTAACTTAAAGTAAACGTAAAACAGATCACATATTGTCTGTGTGAATTTGGAAATTCACGACCCATGTATATTAGGCACTTGTCTTCTTCCTTAATGTCTCACTGAATAGTTGTATGACATGGCCTCTCAGCATTTAATATGGAAAATAAATCTGTAATTTAGCTTAAATTGACATGGGTAAGTGTACGTGATTTAGATTTTTAACGTAGCAAGTGTTTTAGTCATATTGCTACGATGTCTGGAGTATGGTAGTTTATGATACACTGTGGCATAATCCCCCATCCAGTTTGTACGGGGAGAGCCAAGCGAGGCAGCTGGTAGTACCACTTTTATAGATCTTTGTTATTACTAGACCAGGGTTCGAAACCGCGGCCCTCCGCATCTGAGGCGGACGCTTTATTCAATTAGTCCATAGTAGTGATCTGTTTGCATTTGCATTGTTATGGGCTTGAAGATGGGTTGGTTTCTTTTGTGACTAAGTTTATCAGTTAGACTAGCACTGGAGATTAAATATGTTGAGCTTCCATTGAAGGATCAACTTGTTATACATGTCTGTTATGTTTGCTGCAGATGCAAATGCCTCAAACTCTATATAGATTAGGATCAAATGAAACGCATTCCGATTAATGTTAATAACATTGCAATGATCACGCGTATAGCTCATACTGGCAGTTTAAACCGCCTTGAGAGAGGAAATTATTCAATAAGCACTTCACTGTCGGAAATGAAAACTATAAAAGATTAGTTGGAGTTAGTGTAGGAACAGTATAAAATATCACTTGTACAAGGAATTAAGTTGAATAACTTAATGGAATCATACGAGCACACAGTATAACTATACATAAAAATCACAATATGTCCTCAAGTACATGGTCATAAAGTATAAACATGTATGTGTATGAAATTTCAAAGTACGTTTCAGATACATTTAAATATGTATGGGCAATATTCTCTCACTACGTCTCTACACCAGTCCTTAAAAAACTCTTAATATCGGATATTTATCACTGTTTTTTTTTCTTTTATCCGACATTTTGAGGTGAAAGTCTGCCAAAAAGACAAGACACGTGGAATTATATTAATATTTTTAAGACCAGAAAAGAAAAGGCGGGGTAGGCGGGGACGAAATTGTGATGAGGCAAATGAAGTAAGGTTCCTTGACTAGGATATTAGTCAACCAAGATTGATTCACTGGTATAACTCAATCATGCACTCTTTTATTCATGAATCCGGTATTAATAGCCTACTAAAGGGTTTGTGGATCCCACTGATGATTCTCGGGTAGGTACAAATAATTACGTATAGGGAACTACTACTTCATAAAGGAAATGAACCTGCTGAATCGAACAAGCGATCGTGTCGCACAATCAAATATCCATGCTTTATAATGATTTATTTTAAGAATGAACCTGTTACACAAATTTTATTAGAAAATATAAGCAAATGAACAACAATGCCAAAACATAACACATGTTTTATATAAATCTGACCTTGATCCCGATCTCAAAGAAGCAACGAAGTGCTTAGCAATACAGACTGACTTAGCTACATAATACTCATAAGAAAGTATGATGGAAATCTATAAAAGAAATTATAAAATATATGATAATAAAAACATTGGATAGAACCCACAACAAATTGTTAAAACACCGCCAGCGCTGGGAAAGTGATTGATGTGTCTGGATGTTTTTCTAACATGGGTTCGAATATTAAAGCTTTATTTAACAACAACAACAACAACAATACTAATACTAAAAATAATGTTCTCATTACGACTTGTGTTCACTTTTAACATTTAGTAGACACTGTTATTATACTATATTCCTGCCACTTCAAGTAACACCAGATGAAACAAGCAATAAAACAACTAAACAAGCAGCAAGACAAGATAATAATAATAATAATAATAATAATAATAATAATAATAATAATAATAATAATAATAATAATAATAATAATTAATAATAATAATAATAATAATAATAAATGTGTCATAAGGGTACATATACAAGATGCTGCATTGCTATTTTCGACTAGGCAATAACAAAGTGGAATAACGTTAGTCAGAGACAGAGCCACGTATTGATATAATCATCGAAAACCCATTAATTTAATTGATACCCAGTTGTTTTGCATGGTGATATTTACTTAACGCCCTCTTGCTCAGCGTGGTGTTATTTTTCATTTATAATCAAGTCTGTAACTCACGTACTTAATCTCTGAATAGCAGGCGTGCGGGAGAAAATAAAGCAATACATACATACATACATACATACATACATACATACATACATACATACATACATACATACATACATACATACATACATACATACATACATACATACATACATACATACATACATATACACACACACACACACACACACACACACACATACATACATACATACATACATACATACATACATACATACATACATACATACATACATACATACATACATACATACATACATACATACATACATACATACATACATACATACACGTTACCGTGAAAGGGAGTCAGCTACTGAGTTTGTGGTTGCTACATTTGTAACTGAAGAACCAGACGACAACGGAGGAGTGGCGGAAGTACTTCCTAGTTGTCCTTTGACGAGAGATGAATCCTATTTCGACGTCGTCCTTGACGTAATATTAACAACGTGAAGAGGTGAAGGAGATACTCCACGACCGCAAAAGTATATCGAAAGAGAGACCAGGTATGACGGACTTGTAAGAGTTCAGTTTGAAGTTACACCTGTGAAGCTGAAACCTCAGAAACTTTACTGAACGAAATTCGCACTGTGCTTGACTTAGGGGTCATTGGACCAGCCGAATCCACATATAGTTCGCCGGCTGTTTTAGTGCAAATTCCAGTTCGCAAGGAAGGCCGTCTAAAACTTACTTTTGCAACACCAGATAGAACCTTCCAATGGGTGGTCATGCCGTTCGGGGTCCAGAACGAACCCAGTGTATTTACCCGAATGATGAAAAAACTGCTATGAGTCTGAGTATTATTACGCGTGTGCCCTGTACCGTAAAGAACGACTGGGTCAGATTCTACTGAAAATAAACGTGGTTCCTTTTATATTTAGAGATGACATAAGGAAGTAATCATTGAACTGTCTCCAGACCACACACACACACACACACACACACACACACACACACACACACACACACACACACACACGGGCGTGCATACATACATGGGTTAATCTTTCTTAATGCTTCATACGAATGGATGAAGCAATGTACCGTTTAAGAATGAAATTTCTGTTTTGTTCTGTTCTTGCCTATTTTGTTCATATCAAGTGAGTGGGAGAGGAAAAGACTAGTTGAGTTACATAGTGAAAATTTAACTTATAATATATTAGATTATGAACCGGATAAGGAATTATCATAATTCGCTGATTCAACTATACAGCAGGGCAATAGTGAGAAGAGAATTGCGTTCCAATAATATTTATTAACTGGCAACACAAGGGACAGCCACTTCATTATTTACTATTCATGTCTGACACACACCTCTCAACAGACTGTAAAGATTTGTTTCAAAAGACACCAACCTACCTGCCCCTCCTCCAACGAAAACTTCCCCAGCGGCCTACCCCACCTATTCTGACACTCAGTCGTCAGAGATGGACTCATCCGTAATGATACAATATCTGTCACATATTTTGATGTGTCATCTTGATATGGCTGCATATGAAAAGTTTAGCAGAACAAATGTCAAAATTTCATTGAAATTTAAGTTTGTTTATTTATTGTTTGATCCCGTCTGATGCACAAATGTGATAGACAATAACGACACCCCTTCCTTTATGGCAGCTACAAAGTTTGGGGAATGTTTGCTCAGTGATTCAGGAGGATACATGCAAAAAAAGACGGTGAGCATCAAAGCATCTTGGAAGATTTCTATTTTATAACTGCGTAACAAATTTCAGAGCAATACATTACACGAATTATGATCCTGACACTTGAAAGTAAGATACGTGGAAGTGACTGGTCCGCCATCCAAGGAAGTATTGTTTGTCTTAAGATAGTCTGCTTCCAGTCAATGGTCACATTTGCAGTCTTCTATTTCATTATCATGAATAACATTTGGAGTTTCAAGGTACTTAGTGTCTTCCAATCAGCAAACAAAATCAGAACTGAACAGTACGGGCCGTTTATTTTAATTGCAGATAATAGTTACACCAATGCTAACCATGTTGCTGCCTTTGCTAAAATGACTATTCAAATGCAATGGCGGCTACTCGTACTATTTTAACAACTGTTACTATCAATAATGCTTTGCATCATGTTCAACATCGTCCTCGTCATCATCATCTTCAACTTCTTCTCTTCTATGAATTGAGACGAGCACCGTCATTATAATCGACAGAGCTGCAACTTTTCCAAAAGGACATAATTCTCAAAGATGCCGGCAGACAGAGAGACGGACAAAGACAGAGACTAAGCAACAAACTGATAGGATACTCAATATTATCTCATTGACCGTGTGTGTCATTTCCACACGCATATGCATAAGATTGTGTACAAGATCGCGGAAATTATATTTATATTACTTCTGTATAGACATACTGAAGCTGTGAAACATTTTAATGGAGGTTTAGATCAGCTTGTGAGAGTAGCATTTCAATAATCTTTCTAAGAGTCCAAACTGGTTATAATCAATGCTTTACGTGGAATTTGGTTTGACGCTCATATTAACTTTATATTATGCGGATAAACATTTCCAAGATAGAAGAGAATGTGATATTTCTTAACATTTAACGGAACCAAACTTTCATTAAATCAGTTTGTTGCTTAGTCTCTGTCTTTGTCCGTCTCTCTGTCGTCTCTCAAACAGGAGAGATAATAAAAGTTGAGAGAAACTTTGAGCACGTGTATAACAAATTCTGAGGTGAAGTTTCAATACAAAGCACTGGTAGACTTACCTCTCTCTCTATCCCTGTTCCCCTTGCAGCATTCACAAAAATATGTTAACTTGAAATATTTTCTACTCACTTGGTATTTATCTACTTTTATATCCGCTTCTACTTCCCTTCCCAAAACACCGAGCCTGTTGACTGCTCGTTTTATAATGTCCCGGATGCTGTACGTAAATACAGAGCCACTATTTTATAATAGGTTTGTTAGTAGCCAATTGAATCAGCCTTCTTTATACTGAAGTCATTTTCACACTAAAAGATGTAATATGGGAGTAACATGAATGCTACTCGGCACGGTTGTATCCATGGTATTAGTAGTTCAACCAATCAGTGCGTACGTCGGAGAAATTGATGTAATCCAATATCGGACGAAAGAGAATCTTTCATCTCTCCAATTTTTGATATTTTTTGGGCGCTTCTGTATATCCAGTCAGCAACTGACACTATCTCTTCTCCCTGCAGCCAATAGTTTTATG